GATCCTCACCATTGAGGATGTCCTAAAGTAAATTCCAATTCTAGGACGACATGGGTGGATTTTTTCAAAACTCATCCCACTCCACCAGTGTGAATGCTCACTCTCATTTTTTTCATTTTTATTAAGAGGTTTAACCTTCCGACAACCTCGACAGCTTAAGATTTAGTGTTCGAAATTAAGTGGACTGACCTGATTGACATCTCTACACAACAATAAGATTTAAACAATTACATACATTTGAATTATGAATTTTCTTTATGGATAATCAAAAACATATCATGATCCAGAGTGACTTAAAAAAACTTAATTTCAAGAACCAAGTTTCCAATAATCCACCATATATATTATCATTCTTAAGCTAATCTTTTTCAAGAAAAGTTTGATGTTTTTAGAGGTAAGCTTTGGGAAGCTAGCTATGAATATTTAAAGACAATTAAAGCCATGATATGATGTTGAGAAGCAGAGCAGAGCAGACAGATGTAAAGTTTTGATCTATATATCTGTCAAAGTGTGAACCCACCCTCAAAGACAGAAAATTAAATCTGAGGTTGAGGTAATTTGGTTGGGAAATGAAACCATATATGCACAGCACAGGTCACTTTCCTCCTCAAATCCCCAGAAGCAAGAAACAAAGAAACATACACATCATATCAGAAGTTTTGCCTGTTGCAGGAAGTATATAATTTTGAGGGGCCTGTGTGAATCTTGCATGCATATATATATATGAGCTTTCTCCTGCCTGACTTAATTACAATAACTGGTGTAAATAAATAGATGTAGGTCAGATCAGATGGTGATATCTGATCCATTTCCATTCATGAAGATCTGATGTTTCTGAGCGCCATGATTACTGCACAATGGAAGATTTCAATGTCTTTTCCAGTTGTCCATCATATTACTGCTTCAACCTGCCTCCCACCACTTCTTCACTTCACCTCAAACCAACAATTTTTTTTTAATTATTTTTTTATTTTTACTAGTGCTAACCCAGATTTCTCTGCTTCATCGAACTATTTTTGAATCCTATAAATCTGTCTTTAGACCTATAACTCTATAAGGAAGTAAATCGAGTTTGTCTAACTTTAAGCCAACACTGAACTGTACCCTTTTTGTGCCCAACCACCATCCGACTGGAATAGAGTTAAGTGCAACTGTTTATTCACTAAACCACTACTCTAGGGCTACCAATCTAATTTCTTGTAGAATCACTTGTCAAGCCTAATGCAATTACAAGAACGGGGATTCTATTTCCGTACTACTTATGTGTCATGTTAAAAGAATTCTAGGTCAAGTTTTTTCACTAATAAATTCTGCTGGCATGACCAAGAATCTGAATTAATTTTACAATGACAAGAATACAAGGTAATGTACATGTCATGTTAAAGAAGTTTAATTTAGATCTTCTTCTAACTAATAGTTTTGTAGATGCGAGTCAAATTGAAGTTCACGAGTGCAAATTAAGTAAATAAGAATTTCATATATTATTTTTACTTTAGCTTTTTAAAGAGATGATAAAATGAGATTTGAAAGTTATAAAGATATGGTGAGAAGTGTATGTATGTGTATATGAAAGCAAATGGTATTCAGAGATGAGTAAAGGGCATTGAGAGAAGTGGGTATATTGGGCCTTGGCCCAAGTGGGAGCATTGAATGCCATGAACATATAGAAGATGACTAGATTTGACAAACCAACTCCCATAGCATTTGGTTTTGGACCTTTGGTCATAATTTTCAGGATAATTATTGCTTCTTGGGAACTGAAACTAAAATTAATGGCTCATTAAAATGAAAATGACCCTAGCTAGCTTCACTCCCTCACAAAATCATCACCACCCATCTTCCATGACTATGGTAATGTACTAATGTATATATACATTAAATATAGACATTAGAGTCGTCAAAACTGGATTGAGCCTGTTTAACTGAGTTTTAACGGGTTGGGTCATAATTTTTTTAAGCCGACTCGCCTAACATGTAGTGTGAGGTGGGTTATACAGGTTGGCCCGTGAATTACACGGGTTGACCTACTGATATATATAGTGTATATGGATTAATCATTTAGTTATTATATATTTTAACTGAATTAGAACCGACTCTTCACTTTTATAATTTTTTTTATTAGTTTAGTTTAGTTGTATTGGTTTCCAAAGGATTTGACAAGTTGGAGTCTGCAGAGTAAAATGCCTTTTAGGGTTGGTTTGCCTGTTTTCTGGATCGGATCTACTAATAAGGATTAGTATATGCTTACTGCTTAGTATATATACTATATTGTTTATTGTTGCTTTTAATTACTAGGTAATCACATGTAATTTGTTTAATGCGACATTAATTTTTTTTTTTTTCATAGAAAAGAGAACAGAAAATATGGTATAGCACAAGGTTTGGAAGGTTCGGCGCTCGGCAAGAATCTTTGGCATCGATATTAAGGTTAAGAACTTAATTAAGATGATAATGTAATTATACATTAAACTAACCAAAAACAAGTACTTACTAAATGCAGCAGTAGTAGTTTAATATTTTGTATTAATTACATTATTAATGACTTGAAATTAGGGAGAGAGAGCACAAACAACGGAGCATTTTACGTTAGGATGTTTCCTTGAAATCCTATTATATGTACATGAATAACGTTTGCAAACATTGGTTATTCCAACTCTCCACTTTTTAGTTTGGGAGTTTTGTCGTTGAGTTTTTTTAATTAATCATGTAATGTCTTGAAATTATAAGATGGGTATTTTTTAAGATTGATGTGGTAGTGTTCCTTTACTATCTTATCTATTAAATTTTATCTTGTTACATAATAGTATGAGATTGATTCTGTTTGTATATGATTATTAAGTAATTACTTATAAAAAACAGAGGGTTAATTAATTTATGGATAACCAATGAATATAAAGAGTTTTATTACGACGTCAAGAGGGAAATTCAAGATGAGATTCACTAGATTTATATGAGATATCCATCCTGCAATATGAGATTGAGGAGAAACACAAAAAAGGACCACATAAACCAACAAGTGGAGCAGTTTAATCTACCTTGTTGTGCAGTGGCAGTGACATGCCCTCTTCCTCACCCATGAGAATATTTGTCATTTCTTTGTATTTTTCCTACAAAACTTTAATTTAATTTGCTGGCCAGTAGACATCACTATGAAGGGCTCAAGATCCCCTTTAATTTGGCCAGTGAGGATTGAGGGTGATGATAAGGTTCCCTACATACATACCCTCTAAACAAAATATCTTTAATAATGTTCTTCCATTCTTGAATTATATGTATTTCATTGTATATCCTGGTTGTTGGTTTGGTAACCACAAGGTTCCAAGTTTGACTCCCGACCAGGCCAGTGAGAACAGCCATACATGAGACGTTCAGTTGTTTCTGGGATGATAGGCTCAGCGTGTCTCCCTCCTTTCGATTCAAATTTAATTTAAAGGTTGTCTTTTATTTTTATCTTAGAAGAAAGAGTAGCAAATTAAAACCCTATATATCACATATTAGGTTGCTATAAGGGGACATAGAGATAAAAGTTGTCATATATTTTTCACTTAGGTCATCCATCAATCTTTAGGTCTTATGGTAAAGTTGCAGATTCATCAGGCTGCAACAGCAGGACCAGTTGAGGCCAATTCCCAGCCAAAAATTAAATCTGTGCCACAGTGTTGTGTAACTTTCCAATTGAAAATGACCATCCAACAATTTCAAATCTGGGGGCTGTGCAGTCATTATTACTATTACTTTCGGATAGCGAAAAATCTGCGGTCATTATTCGAGTGTGTATCAGATAAATCTCATTTTTGTGTAATAATTCACAATTACACAGAAAAGGTAAATCGCATTAGGAAGATTTTGTGCTATAAACTTGACATAGGGAGTATTGACAAGAATATAATCAATTAATGATCGATAGATACGAGAGTTATGCTTCACTCACTCGACCATTGTTTTTCGGGGAGCTATAGTTAATATTTTAGTTAACTGCAATGTGGTCTTTCCCATGCATCCAATGGTCCATACTCCATTATTTTGCAGTAGTTGTATATATTCATATATAGCCATCATCTTCCAACAACTGCTACACCAATTCTTACTGCTCTCAATTTTCTTTTCACAATCTCTATGTTTTGATTACTCCTAGGAGAAACAGGATTATATAGTTATTCAAGATAATCAACATGTCAACTATTTATATTTTATTCATATCAATAGTTAATTAACAAAAAATATGAATAAATTAAAATATATATGAGTGGAACATATAATATCTAATGTAGTATTTTCAAGGGTTCGATCCTTGACTTTAAGTATGGAGCAGTTTTAAATCTCCAGGCTAGTTGTCCCACCTAAAAGAGGTGCCTAGAATTCAGTGAGGAAATTAATCATTGTGTCCGACGATAGAAACCCTAATACACTCAAAAAAAAATGTAGTATTTTCGATATGCCTAATTCTTTCACCTCTTAGGAATACATCTATATCTATAGTTAATTTCAACACAACTAATTAATAGACAGAGAACCAAACACAAGCCTTTAGAGTATTGCCTAACTGGTCAACCAATCAAGAATAGGTTTACAAACTTTGCTTTGCTAGCAACTGCGACATTGTATAGGATTGTAATCATACTTACAACCAAAAAATAAATATTTGAGACACATCTCGCAATTTACCTTATCCACTAATCTCCCAGACAGGAGTTATGAGGGATCCTTAATTTTGTGTCTTAACAACCTATATTTAGACTCATAGACTTGTTCCATGTCATAATTGTGTTAACATATTAACTATGTAACTCATCAAAACAAACATACAGAGAGCAGTAGAATAGTAAGCATTCAACACTAATTTCTTGAGAATTAAGCAGCAGTATAATATAAATGGAACTCTCTCCATTTTTTGTTTCTTTCTCTTTATATGAATCAAATATAATTCAAGTCATATATATATATATATATATATATATATATATATATATATATATATATATATATATATATATATAGTAATAATAAAATAGAATTAAAGGATGTCTGCAGAATCTTTCAATCTCGATCCTGAGGAAAAGACAAACAGGGACTAGTGGAACAAGTGGAAGAGCAGAAAGACAAAGGAGAGGTAAAAGAATGGCTGTTAGTACAAGACAACAAGCAGTTTTCATTACTGCTGCTTGAAGATGAAGAAGGAGACGACGATGGAGGAAGGATAATGGCGGCGGTGGCGGCGGCGGCGGCCGGAGACTTTTCGTGGTTTGAGGGATGAGATGATGAAGAATGAGCAGAGAGGGAAACCAGCAAGTCGACGAAGGCTCCAACGATATAGCCATGATTGCTTTTTCCATTGATTTTGAGATAACAAGTCAACAGTTCTTCAAGAAACTCCCAATCCAATACTTTCAACCCAGATTCTTCTTCGTCTTCATGGCCGTGATGATGGTGGGCTGTCACCATCTCCTCCATTGATCTCCTGAAATCCAGAAAAGGGTCGGTGGACTCCACGGACATTGCCACGCTTTCCTTGAACGGAGATTCTTCCTCCACCGTCGCCGCCGCCTCCTCCTCCAGTTTGGAGCTAGTTTGTCCGGGCTCGAAAAACAGCCTCTCCGACCGCAACCCTTTGATGACCTTCTCGACGGAGTCATCGTCCGGGGAGGAGTACTGATCGGCGGCGAAGTTGGGGTGATGATAAGGTTGAGAGGCGCCGAAAACGGTGGCGTCATCTGCTCGGAAAGAGAGGGTTCTGGGGCTGCTGACGCCGCACTGCCATGGCCATGTGGTTTCTGAGGATTTGGAGAGGAAAGGGATGAGCTTCATAGCTTGAGAAGGTTTTTCAAGAAAGCTAAGCTAAGGGGGAGAGGTTTGAATTGAATGTAATGAAATAGTGGGAGTGGGGAGGGAAGAATTGAAAATGGAAGTTTGAATAGAGAGTAGAAAGAAAGGTTTGGTGGAGGGGCTTGGGAGAGGGTTGGGTTTTGTTAATGAGGCAATTAATGTTACAAGGCTGAGTAGTTCAATGGTGAAAGAGGGTGGTGGCTCATCAAGGAGACAAAATTTATTACAACTACAAGGACTCATATATGCACAATATATGTTGTATATTTAATGACCAAGACACATTATATATATATATATATATATATATATATATATATATATATATATATATATATATATATATATATATATATATATATATATATATATATATATAGGTAAAAGTTCAAATGCGGTGAGACCTTCCCGTGCAGTCGTGCAGTGGCTTTCAAAATACACCAACAATGTTAACAATGTATAGTGTAAAAGAAACACACAACAAAGAAATACAAAAATACACAACACACCTAAAAAATACACCATATACCTCTCTACCACTAATGTATTTCCAAACACTGTGTGGTGCTTTTAGTCATACCTAGTGGTGTGTTGTTGGTGATGCGCACGGGAAGGTCTCATTGCACCGGAACTCGACTATATATATATATATATATATATATATATATATATATATATTTCCATGAGTACATAAGAGTCAATATTGGTGTATGTATTAAAAAATCAGATCCATGGATGAGATTAATTGGGCAAATTCAATATTAACTGTGCATATGGAGTGTGTTGTGTACAAAAATAGGATATGCATACAGCACATGCTTTATATGCACACGCGAATGTTAAATTTTTTTAACTAATCTCATCCATAGGTATGTGTTTTTAATGCACAATATTGGTTCTCTACTCATGAGTGTAAATCGTTGAATGTAAGGGTAGTTCTCCATGATCCTATTGCTGAATGCAGACTTTGTGAATGACATAAATTTTAAGATGTGACTCAAATATATTATATATGCTTAGTTCTTATTCTTCTTCCTACAAATACTGCTTACTGAACCGAGCTAAGCCTTGTGCGAACATTTTATATGCTTAGTTAAAAATATAAAGAGAGGAGAATCCAACTTTATAAGTGCAAAATATATTCACCTACGTAAAATATCTTCACGTATGACACTATAAAATTTAAACCATAATTTTCAAGGCCATTATATGAAATTCATACTAGCAAAATATTAAATAAACTAGTAAGTCATGAGCATACAAGTTCTAAATTTCCTTTCATTATCTTTTCTAGCATGGAATCATATTGTTAAGAATAAAAAGTGAAAGTATTTGGGAGGAGAAACCAATGTTTGAATTTCGATAACGACAGTGTGAGGATTATATTCAAAGTGAACAGATCCCTTATATGTATTGACATTTGACCCTGTTTACTGAGCCATCGATTTACAACTTGAACACACGCCCAATACATAGTAGTTAATTAGCTAGTAAGATTTTGGTGATGGGGTTGGTATGTAGGTCTTGCCAATGCATATGTATTGATGGACAAATCAAATACATTATTTAAAAAATTATTTGTACCCTTTGTACTTTTGTCTCATTTCTTGTGTTGGGATTAGATTATCATCAAGAAACGCCATTTCATCCTTGTCACTTTGGCATAATAATGAAAGTAATTTAAAGAGTTTATAAGCAGCAACATAATGCTCATAAGTTATACTTCTATGACCAACTTTTAAGCCTTTGACTTCGATTTGAATTACACACAAAAAATTAATGATAACAACTTTTGTCGGGTATGTGATTACTTCAATTCTCTAGTTTCGACTGTGACTTATCTAAATGACCTTTTAGAGAGTGGTTGATTAGAAGGTAAACCACTTCAACCGCTAACACATTCTTACTTAGTTCTTACAATATTAACTTGATAATTAAACTTAATATTGATTTATGAGAAAACCCGCCATCACTATTCAAAGGTACGTTCCGAGTGAAATCCTCCCTATGATTTTAACCGACAAAAAATCACAAGAAGGTAAACCAGCTTAAGTTACCCATTATATCTTAACTGATCAGCTCAAACCAAGAATGTTAATAGAAAGCTCCCAAAGCACATGAATTTGAAAGTTAAAAATAATAGTGGTTTACAACTTACAAGTAATAAGTACACTTATTAAGAAGCAAAGAGTACATAAAAAGACTATATAGCGAGTGGAGGTGTGGGCGTGTGGGGTTGAGCATCATGTGATGCATACAACACAATAATATCAGTCACGTGCATCGCATATGCATCCCAAGAAACAGATGGAGACCCCATCCATGAGAGGGACTCTCCTTCAATATACTCATCTGCAATCTTAGTTGATTTTATCCACTTACTATTATCTCAATTATAATTTTTGAAATATTTTCGGATATTGTGATCCGCACCACTATTTTTTACATTAACTATAAATAATATACATGATTATATTAAATACCAATGATATCCAAAAAAAAAAAAAAAAAAAACAAGTATAATTATATTCGGTGCAGAAAACACTAATATCAACCATAACTTATGTCAGACTAATCCTAAACCCCCAGAACCCCTACCCAAGAGCTGTTAGAGGAGATAAATCACAAGTTCCCAAATCTTGCTTTTACACTCTATACATAAGGGATTTTCATCAACTCTGATCGATCAAGGTCTCCTAATGGCTCCCAGATTTTCAGTAGGATTCGAACCTCCACACTGCATTATAGCCTTAGAGGAAGACTTTAGTGTGATTAGTTGGTTGGTTGAACCAACTGAATAAAAGTACACATTTTAATGGCATGTTTTGTGAGGATAATGACATCTTTAAAGATAATGCCACGTTGCCACAGCAATGGGTCGACACAAGTTTTAGAATTTATCGAACATAGTTGCACATTTATTATAGATGGACCATACACTGATAGATTGACCCAAGTTGTGATGGCCCAGATGATATTAAGCCTACAAGACATGGCTTTGATGGCACTAAATTTCTGTGTATATAATGTGTGGATACTCAGAATAAGGGACCAATTACAGTTGACAGTGAGGGTGGTCCATGTGGGCACCACCACATCCTAGGCATCTCTTTCTAGATATATAAACATATGTATGGAGACACACATGTGTAACATAGTTATTAAACATGGGAAAGGGTTGGATGGTAGTTTCGACTTTAACACGATTATCAAATCCAGTTGATAAGCGAGCTGCTAATACAACTGTGAAGTCAAGTCTGGGAGTCAAACTTTTCGGGTCGAATCCAGATTAGTCTCACAGTATTGGAGATATTGAATGGTGGGTTTCGAAAACAAAACATATAAATACATTATACATACATGATATGAGTGAGTGGGGTTGCGGTGCAATCCTGCAGATATCATGGTTTCCTTTTCCATGGCCTGCATGCAACCCTGCAGATGAAGTACCAAACAAGCAAAATAACCCAGATTTTAAGAGTTGAAATATGATACATATGTTACTGTCATCACTTTACTACATGCATAGAAGTGAAACCAATCAAATTTTTGGAACAAAAAGCTAAAAATACCTGATTGATTTGTAGGGCAGAGCAGCCATGATGGATGTGGCAAGTGGAAACCATTTTCTCCATTCAGACATTAATGGAATATTAGCCAAGCTTTGCTCTGTTCATAAGTCAACCATATCTTTCTTGGCCTCTATCATGACTCTTTAAATGAAATAGAGACAGAATTTCATCCAAAATAGAAACTAAACAGTAAGTAGGGTATTTCAGTTTAGAACTACGATGCATAAAAAGTAGGGTATCACAGTAAGTAGGGTATTTCACTTGGCTTAGATAAGAATTCAAGAACATAAGTACATCCAGATTGGACACGAGCATCATGATTTTCCTTAAATGACAGGCTGACAGCAAAGGGTGATTATTCATGAAGCATTTACAGCCACCATATTCAAATTATTCCCCGAGGATCCAATTCATGGAAAAAAGGGTAAACGACTAAATTAGAACAAGCTTCTCATGATCATTGTAAGTGCTTGTTTGCCTGCAATTTAGTGAATCTTATCTACTCCAAGAAGAAGCCATATGTCACGTCAATAATGTTTTTTACAAAGTGGCTTTTGGAGTAAATAAGAGAACAATTTGCCTTTTCTTAACAAGCACTAATTTAAGGCTTTTTCTAAAAGCTCTGTTTTTATTCTAAATAATCACAATAGAATATATTCTGAAAAGATCTTTTTATAAATTATTTCAAAAATAAACCATTTTGCTTCTAATCAACTTGGCCAAACTGGCAATAAGTGGTTTGGTTTAATTTCACCACTCAACTTTACTCTGATGAAATTGAGTATTTGAGTGGATGAAAAATGCCAAAAAACTTAGAAAATTATGAAATGAAATTCAATCTACTCCTAATGGGAGTTGGGACAGATATTAAATGGGTGCAGAAAATCTGCATGATGGTTGAAAATAAAAAAGGTTATATCATAGAGGCACAGATAACTTTTATGCATTTAAATGCTAAGAAATTAAAAATTACATGATGCTATAGTTGATGGAAAGGCAAATAAGAGGGTAGAAATACATGACATGAAAATGAATAAATCCTTAGTGCCAAAATGAGATGAACTTCTGAAGATGTAATATGATCATCTTTGAAATTGGAAAGGAAGAGAAAAGGCAAACGGCATCTTCACAGTATGAATACATGTACAAACACATGTGCAAGCGCAACCCCAAGTAAAACATAATCTTACCCAAATTCTAACAACTTTCTGACATAAATTTCCAATAAAACATGTTCAGAAAATTGTGGATTTTAGAACATATTGCTGTTTAACCTTCAAGCTCTCAAGGATGATGAAGCAAAAACATCATTGTTCAAGAAATCCTATCCAAATGTCATATTTCAAGTGAGAATGCTCCTTTCTCCTAAAAACCTCTGCCTTTGGAGAAATTAAGCCTATCCCGTTAGTCCCCAAACCACTTTATGACTGTATTCAAGAAAGTTACTCCTAAGAGCTCAGAAGGGCTTTTAAAGGACCAAACATAACAGATTCTAATCTAGCATTTACACCTTAATGAGCTTTATTACTTGAGTAAAGTAGACAGAGAACATACCTTTCCAAATAGATAAGGCAAAGAATACAATGTTGGTCAATTCCCTCAGAGTTGTTTCATTCACTTCCCTTGCCAGCCACATCGCCTGTAGTTAAGGCTAACAGGGAAATCCTAACCACACCTCGGATCACCAATGCATTTGACTGCTGGGACGCTGAGTGGCAAATGATGCATAAACGCACATTATTGAACCCATGGTTACCAAAAATTCAATCCATCTCAAGTCCTATGCGTCTTTATAATGTTCCTGCATATAATTTCCATTGACAAGATTTTTATAATAATGCTGCATATCCAGTGTATTATGAACCAAATCGTTAAAAGGAATGGTGCTTACATGGGCACAGTGAGAACCCCCTTTTAGCGTATGGGATCACATATAACGTGTTGTTTAAAACCGGGATTACATAAAACCATGTACTTCTGCATATATTAGGAAAATGGAGAGAAAAGAATCTAAGAGGAAAGCAGAGCACGGGTGCTCTATTTAAGTTCCTCCATGATATAAAGAATTAAAGATCATAAATGTCGAAGAGCGCTTCCATGTTTAACTTCTAAAAGTAGCTTCTTGCATCATCAGTGCTTAAAAAATGCACAATTTCAAATATTTATTGAAGCCAAATTTATTAATAACCCCAAAACTTCCTAATCTTGCAGGTTCATAAGTAAAAACCGAGTAAATCAGTAATTTCCATACTTTATTCTTGAAACAAACCAAATTAGCATTTCCTCAACCAAAGACAATACAAATTTGATAATGAGAAGCTAGAAACCAATTGAGCTTAATCCACCTAACAATTTCAAAATATCATTATAGATCCTGAATTACAATAAAAAGATTACTACAAGACACCTATCACGTTCTAAGTCTTTAATCTGTTGAACTTGTAATTCATCAACATTAAATCAGATAACATTGGAAATACAGACAGTAAGCAGTCTGAGAAGTAAGACAATCAACTTCCAACTCTAATGAACATTTCCCAGTAATCTGCCCCTAACTTCATAAAAGGTTAAGTAATTTATTAGCATGATTTCAGAACCACTGAGTTATTTAGTCACCAGCATCCCCAGAACACATTCCAAATCACCTGGAAAATAAAAGGCCTAAAAAAGACAAACTTTGAACAACCCATTCTTATCCAACTTTTGTCCGCTTACTTCTCAAGTCAACTTGTAATGAAATCACAAACCATCCCGAAAGGACCAGCTTCAATAATATTCAACACCAAAGCACCTAAACTCATCACAAGTTCACCCTTCTCTGAATTTGACATTTAGTTGTTTGTTAGAAATCTTTTAAAAAAATTAAATTGTTAGCTTTGAATTCAATGAATGATTTACATCACAAACAATCCAGAAAGCACCAGCTTCAATAATATTTAACATCAAATCACCTAAACTCATCACAAGTTCACCCATCCCAGAATTTGACATTAGTTGTTTCTTGTTTGTTAGAAATGTAAAAAATGCAAAATTTGAATTCAATGAATGATTTCACCTTAGTACTATGGGTTTCAAGTCTTTTAGCCAAGGACATGGAGAAAGGTTCAATATCAATACATTCACAAGGAATCCAGAGATTAATTGAGATTAGATGCTATTTGAATCTGAAATTGTGTTATTTACAAGTTCTACTACTAAATTTTCATCTCCAGAGTGCTGACAGACATATCAAGTTTTAAGTCAGAATTCAATGTGATCAAATGCACACACATGAAAATCTATAAAATGCAGGATCAAGATCAATCATGGGAAGAAGCAATTAAACTATAACCATATTTTCTTTTTTTTTAATATTAAGCAAATGGATTGTACAGCTTAACTGAGAAATTTCAACCGAGGACTCGTAATCTACAGAGCCTACAGAGAGAAGATCTCTAACCCATAAAGAACGCCGGCATACTTTTCAGTAAGAGCCTCTTTGTCCTCAAAGTATGACTTCCTGATCTGCTGAAAAGCATGCCAAGTAAGCAAGCTATCCGAGCCGGCCTGGTGACACTTCCCGACATCCCGGTTCACCTGAAGCATACTGGCAACACGGTCCAACCCGCCATGGAGATTTGAGCAGAACTTCATCAAGTGTTTCACATCATAAACCTTGTTCCCGAAGAACACATTCAGCAATTCGAGGAATTCCCCAAGTGTCCCGGGCAGGTCGCGGCCGCAGAGGGCTTTGATCAGGTATCCAAAGTCATAACCGCTGTGGAAGGTGATGTAGGTGACGTCATCGTTGCAGACGAGGCCGGAAGACATCATCAGCTCCGCAAAGCGGGCGGTATCGGCGCCACAAGCTTGTGTCTTTTCGAAATCAATCCCCTGCTGCCGGAGGAGCTCAATAGATCCCGGAGCGTGGTCGTCACGCCCCACGTCAAAGTCACAGAAGTTGAACTCCCAAATGTAGCGGAAGGGGGAGGAGAGGTCGGGTAAGTTCCCAGAAGCATCAGTTAGAGTGATCCCCACCTGAATCAACTTAAGGGCATCTACGTTCGACTTAAGAGTTTTATAATGCTCGTCCGGGTCCCGAGACCGGAGCTCCCGCCGGAAAACCACGCCAGGGAACTCAGTATCCATGGACACGAAAGAGTAACGGTCAACCAGACAACGGATTAAGGCGATTTCGGAGTCGAGGTTTTCGGCCCAAACGGATCGGATCTGAATCGGCTTCTTGGAATCAACTATGAGCGGCGGCGCCTCCTGGGGCGGCGGAATCGGGGGAGTTGAGGGGGGCGGAGAGCCTGCGGCCATGGAAGAGAATCTGAGGACTCCAGATCGAGGAAGTGAGGTGATAGCGATTGGTGGGTGAGAGCGGCTAGGGTTAACGACAGTATATTTATACGGAAGGTTACTTTATACGTATACAAAGCGTATATGCGTAGAGATGGGGACAAGGACGTGGAGCGGTGACAGGTGATCAGCGCAATGTGAACCGATTTTTTCTGCATTCGACAAAGTGGGCCTCTGCGTTGGCCTTGCTTTCGCACTTCCAAATTACTATATTACCCTTCTTTAACTTCCCTCCCACATCCTTTTTTTTTTTTTCTTTTCTTCTTCCCTCCCACATCCTTTTTTTTTTTTCTTTTCTTTTCCCACACAAATGATGAAATTCTCTCGTCCAAGTCCATGCCCGAATCCTAATAGATATGTAAATTATGGTGACTCATCAGTCTATTAGATGAGAAGACTAGTATCCGATACTAACAATGAGTCTATTATATTGGACATAACTCCAACACTATGATAACAAAGGCTTAATCTTGTGTCATTGTTCATAATATACCACATAAGAACCGACTTATAACTTCGATTGTTCGACTTTTCTGGACTATATATTAGACTCGCAAACTGTATACTCCTGCATACAAAGAGGTTCAGCCTAAATCTAAATCTTCAATGTTCATTGCAAGAATCTAACTCACACAGTTACACCTTAATATTAGAAGCGAGTTTTAAGTTAGACTTTTCATCTACTAAACTCTTCTTTTGAACATGCTTGCTTGCTTTTCTTTCACAATTTTCACTATCGAGGGCTAAATTGGAATTATATAAATCATATTCGTTACATCTGATTATCTCTTTTAATACATCAAACGTTAAAGCAACGTGTTTATATATAATCTAGCATTTTGTGGATTATAAAAATGCACTGGAGTAATGTAATTCTTCGGCGTATTAATTATTCTGGTTTATATTTTATTCTAATTCTTGAAAATCATGACAACTTTTTATACTACCTATTACTTTTTTCTCTAATTCAGTGTGCCTTTCCCTGATTATCTCCTTTTTTTCACTTAAAAACAACATTTATTGACTTTAGTCCAAGAGAAGTAAATTGTATGGGAGAAGACTTTGTGTGATGGACTCAATGAATTAGGCAAACCTGATTGAGAAAGCGTCAACAAGAATTAAATTCACAACTTTCTGGTATGAGAATCATATTCTACTCATTCGATTACTTGAAAGGGGTTAATTTTAGAATTAAATTCACAACTTTCTGGTATGAGAATCATATTCTACTCATTCGATTACTTGAAAGGGGTTAATTCTATTTTATTGTTTGATTTGGTGCCTTGTGCCATCCCACCAAACTAAATAGGGAAAACGTCTGGTAAACCTTTAATTCTTTCAAATGGAGAAGACTGGTGAGCCTTTATAGTTGATAGGGAATGTGAACATGGGTTGACCGCCATCCGCCGGCCCCATTGACTGGGTAAAAGAAATGTCTTTTTCTTCCATGTTAAAATAATGGCGTAATGGATCGGTTAGAGAAAAATAGCCCACCAAACACGAAAGTTTTGTGCTTGATTTGAACAACAAGACTATCATCTTCCCCATTCATGTATCCTACTTTTAATAAGACTGGGTATAAAGCATAAACAGTTCCATAATAAATACATTTGCTATGCATCTTTGCCTATGAAATGACAAAGACGTGAAGCATCCAACCGAATCAGAATAACAAACAACCCTTCACATGCACTGCATCCCAACAAATCATATCTATTTCAACCACCATCCTACCAACTATTAACCATGACAACAATACACCAAAACTTCAGATCACGGTCATCACACAAGCTGTGAAATTGAAGAGAGATATAGAATGGAAAGGGTTCATGCGTGCAGGAAACAAATTGTAACGAAATGATTCATATTTAATTTCAAACTTGTTCGGCACACACAAAATCCCATTTAAAGAAACAGCGTTCCATAACGTTGTTCAGAGAAACTAGAAAGCAGAGAAGTGGGGATTGAGAAGGCATGATAGATCAGCAGAGGACGTTGGCCTCTGCATAAAACTTTCACTGCCATAACACAATTACAGTTTTACACGGTTCCATGACTTGTAGACTAGAAATACGTGCCTTCAGGTGGCTGGACTAGCTTGCGGTTGTGTGGAGATGCCATCTCCTTCTTCAGCTGTGTCAAAATGTCTTCCATGGTATACTCTCGCTGCCAATTTGCTAGAAGACCAAACTTCTTTGGTTCAACCTATACCACATATTAGGCATTAGGCATCACTCTCAGCAGCACAAAACAACAAGCAAACATTTTTAGCAGATGGAATGCCATCCAACAGACACTCTTAATGGCTGTGTATTTTTATCTTATAAGGTCAGTATAAAGGGATGCAATGCTGTATATAATAAACAGCAAGATGCTTCGTATGACGGGGCCTAAACCAGAGTTCAATGCATTTCTCAAATCTGTAGATTTGTTTGGACCTCTAATTTCCCATTACAATAGCAAAAAAGGAACTGCATTTCATGAACATAATATAATATAATAAAATCTTAAATCCATATAACAAAATGGGCAGCTTTTTGCAATTTTGCATACCACTCCTGTTTCATGATTCACACAGGTCATGTTGATTCGAGAATGGAAACGAACACTTGGTGGCTTCTCTGGGTAATCTTTGTCGCAAAACAACTTCAACTGGTATATACGACCTTCATGCACAGACTGCAAGAAGCTATTTATTAATCTGGGTTGTTCCCACAATAAAAATTATAAAAATTCAATAAATGTAAAAATCAATCATTTCAAGACCATTAAAAATGTAATAATAAATAACAGTATACACAACAACTTGAGCTATGAATCCTTCTAGCAACAATCACCTCTGTCACATCACCATGTATGCTTTATAAATCATAAAGAAGCAAAATCTTAATAAAGAAACATCTACAAAGAAATCATAAGAATATCAGAAATTTCCCTTGAAATTACAGCATCCACTACGCATAACGCATCAACAAGAATAAATATACAGAATTCAGTTCATGTTGGGTCTCATGTCAAGCAGATCAAAAGCAGCAAAAGGTCAAATGTAACAAATTGAAAGGACATAAAACCAGTATACTAATAAAGAAGAAATGCGTTACAGAAATATATGAAAAGATAAGATTAGTCCCTCAAAACAAGTAAAGCAAAAATGCAGTTGGTCTAGAAGGAGAAATATATTGCTCACATTGTGGGGACCAATAATGGTGCCCGTCCAAGAACGCATGTAGATATCATCTCCATCATCCATACCATAGCTCACTGTCCCATCTCCAATACCTTTTTCTCCACGCTCAAGTTCCTCCAACAATCTGAAATTGCGAGGGACTGGGAGGAAATTGAAATAATTGAGACATTGAATTAATTAAAAAAATATCTGAAAAAAATCAACACATTTCTGTGAAGATTTCCAACTGCAGGATAGACATGTAGGTTAAAAAGACAATATTAAGATCATATGTGCAAATATGCATCAGGTACTTGATCACTAAGGATTGCAGCATGTCCTACCATATAAAAATTGGTTGAATAAGAAAAAAGATAAACATGTCAGTAAATAACATCTCATAACTTCATGTCTGTTTATATAGATCATAAATCCTAATGTCCCATTTTATATCCACCATGATCATAAAACAGTCTGATATACGACCTCAAATTTTTTCAGCTCAAACATTGAGACCCTTATAATTGTATTCTTACTCTCTAAGAAGTGAAAATAGCAATACAAAACTCAGCATGGAAGCAATTAAAATTACTAGGAAATAAACAGACAGATAAAGCACAAATACAAAGATGCCTTATCTTTTCAAGTTAGTTCTTACACTTCTAATTATAAGTTTTCAAAGGCATTCCCACTCCCAAGTCTACAGATGAAATAAGTCTATAATCCTTGTTTGCCTAGTTACTCCAAATAACTAAACTAAATTATGGATCAAAATCAGTAGTTCAGAACACAAGGCAAAAAGAAATGAAAACCATCAGAGTAAAAGATAGTTTCCAAACCCATGAATTGACAACAAATGCAACAAAAATGAGAACAATATATTAATGGATAGCATTCAATCAAAGAAACAGAAAACCAGAATCCAGATGTAGAACTACAACAAACATGAATTTGACAGCTTTCTCATGCATGTGTTGTCTATAAGGCTGCACCATGCTTCCCCTCAGCATTTGAGTGGAGTTAGTAACAAGAAGTTTTCTCAGGCATGTGCTGTCTAAAAGTGTGCCAAATTCACTAATGAAATTTCTAAGGCATTTTCTGTATGGCAGGAGTTTGTTTTAAACAAAAACCATTTCGAACTTCCACATGCATGCCAATCGGTTGCCTAGAACTTCTCCATATTTTCTAACACACAACTAATGATAACAGCGAACCAGGGAAATGCTATGAAGCCATATCAAATAAGGAGTGTGCACAAACATTAGAACTACAACCATTTCCTTCAATTCCAATCACTTGATATCAATATAAATCTGAAAATGCCTTCACTCAGTAACAACAGGCTAACACAAACATCAAATACCCCACATATGTTCAGTGATTGAACTACAAAGGGCACCACTGGCACAACTTTCCACCTTGACAAACTCTAGTACAAAACCAGCACCTTCATCATAAAAGCTTTAAAACCTAGCCAATTCATGCAGATATTTAAACAACACACCACCTTATTGAATTAGAAGTTCATGCCAACTTTACTTAAACATCAAGAGCTAAACATAAGCAGCTCGTTTCCTAATTGAACATCACCATCCTAACACGCAATATGCAACACTCGAAACCAGCGAAAAATCCACTTTAAAACATCCAAAACGGCTAGAAATCACGAATCAAAACCGATACAGACACGTCAATCACGTAAAAAAAACGCTTCACAGATTCAATCACGACACAGGCAATCGGAAACAATCAGCAATAGTAAGACATCTATTGAACAAATCCAAAAACACAAAATCCGATCACGAAGATCCTAAAACGACACGACATCGGATACAGAGACGAAGAAAAAGTAGCAGATCAAAGGGCGGCGTTGAGGAATGAGTGGACTCACCCACGACACTCGATCCTGCTGAGCCAAGCGTCATGGTTGAGCA